ATTTCACAGTAAAATCTAAATTTTATCTGATTTCACAATAAAATCGAGATCTTACCTAATTTTAAATTTTAGTATAAATTTTATACAAAATACCTGAATGAAATCGTAAAATCATTTTAAGATTTAAATCTAGACTTTTTACAACGGAGTAAAGAACAGTGTGATAAGAATCACAAATTTAGCCATGATTGTTGGGGCGATACGTGTTAGTGAGGACAGGATTGTCTTTGCGGACAAGGAAACATACTTTGTCTGTAATGAATGAATTTTCAGCAGACAAAACGCCAGACTTTCCACCGCCACGATTGTACTTTGGCTTATTTACTAGTTGCTCCCTAAAACTCTTTTTTTGTTTTTTCTTTCTGGTCCCCCCTCCCCTGTTTTCTTTTGGTTAAACCCTTAACTATTGTATGAACTCATGAATTGGTTTTTAAATTAAAAAAATCTTTGATTTGGTCACTAAAATTTTTAAATTTAACTTTAAGATGGTTTCTCCATTAAAATATATTAATATATCTCGTTATTAATGTGAGACGTGATCGTCGAGTAATGGTGTTGTCAAGTAAAATGGTTGTTTGACCTGACTTATTTTTTAGTTAAATAATATATTACAACATTAATTTCCCTAAAGATGTGATTAAACTGTAGGTTATGTGCTTAATCCAACAACATCCTACAATTAGAAACAAGAGTGCCCAATAAGTGAAACTCATAGTTTCCATCATCAACCAAAACCATGGCAATCATTGAATCAAATTCAAGAATAAATCTATTAAAACTTTTGTTTAAAACAATAGTAATTTCATCATAAATTGCTCAAAGTTCGACACAAAAGGCTACACAACTAGTTGTGTCAAGTGAAACCCAATATTTATTTAGAAAACTCATCCTTAAATATACCACTAGCACCTACACATTTTGGGTTAAGATAAAAAAATTTAGCACTCAAAGAGTTGGAATAAACAAAAGTACTAATTTTTAATATTTTTAACACAGGAAGACAAATTTGATACTTCCACGTTTACATCATGGTGAGATTTAGAGATATGTCAGGATACAAGGGCATGCATGCAAACAAAAAAAGCATATGCTACAATAATATCCTCTTGTTTTCTCATGTCTGAGTTTCACCTTTGTACACTCAATTTCTCTCTCCAATAACACACCCACCCCTTCTGTGTGTCTCTCCTAAAGTGTGTGTTTACTGTTTTGTTTGGTGAGCTTTTCTTCTTTCTCTCTTTCTTCACTGATACTCATAGATACTCCTCCTCAAATTAAAGGGAGAGAAAGTAAGTTCATGGGCTGCTTCCCTTGTGGTTCAAATTCAAACAGAAATGCTAAGAAGAAGCCTGATCATCAGATCCCATCAACTTCAGGTAATCCTGGGAATAATTCTGGAAACAATTCTGGAACCCAGGATTATGCTTTTTTTTTTCTCTGTTTTATTTTAAGCTAAATTTCCATAAGTATGAATATGGGAAGTTGCAGATGGACGAGTACATGCCATTTCCGTGATTGTTTGAATTTTTTCTTTCTGGGTTTGTGCTATGCGATCTGATTTGGATGTAGGGGGGGGGGGGGGGAACGGTTTAAGGAAAATATTGCTCATTGATGCATGTTCAATAGTGGGGTTAAAGCAAACCTGGTATATTAATTTGAGGTTTGAGACATAATTTAATGCTTTTCTGATTATAATTAGATGGATTTCTGGGATTTTCAATTAGGGGATATCGGTTGAAGCTTAGTTTCAGATCAACGTTATCATATTTTTCTCTTGAGTGTCAACTTGCCTAATGGACCTCAATTATTGAAAAAAATTTAAAAATCATAAATTGAACGGTGGTCATCAATATTGTTTTTTTGGTTTTTTTTTTTTATTATTTGGTCATCAATTTTGTTTCTTTTAGTGTTGATATTTGTCATAAAAATCATAAATTGATAAATTTTATACATCCAATTGTCTTGGAAAGGTATGTTCTATGTTCTCTGTTGGATTGTTCTTTTTAGTTTAGGAATCATACATTGAATGGTGTCTGAAGAAGTTTACTGGGTACTGATAATAAAAATGAATTGCTTTTTTCTTGTTCTTTGGCATAATGAAAAAAATTTAAAGCTTGAATCATGCTTATATGGTGTGGCAGTTTTCCAATGGTCACAAGATTGGCACTAAAACATGACATTTTGGTCTTTCTGATGTGGTAGTGCCAGTTAGAAATTTGAAAGTTTTGATTCATATTCTGTTTCCTGGTATTAGTAGAAAGCCCGAGGGTGAACTCTGCATCAGATGTTAAGGAGGAGGCTTCTAAGGATGGGGGATCTGATCACATTGCTGCACATACGTTTACTTTTCGTGAATTGGCAGCAGCAACAAAGAATTTCAGGGCAGATTGCCTTTTGGGTGAAGGAGGTTTTGGACAAGTATATAAAGGGCGACTGGAGAGTACCAAGCAGGTATGTGGAGTTTATCGTACTTCCATTATTGGACAAAATTTGAATAGATGAAACAAGTAAATCTTTTTCTTATGCTCTATGTATGTGCTCTAGAGTTTTTTGGTTGGCATTGCATCTATAGATTTTGAAAGTTTTTAATTTATTACTATTCAACTAGATGAATCAATACATTTATGCTGTACAAATGATGTTGAATTGAAGCTGTTATTTGCTAATGTTATTTGAGTTTTAGCATGGCTTGATGGCTGGATGAATTATATAACTTGGTTGCTATAATGACATTATTTAGGATAGAGACCAACTTTGTTGTTTTATTCTGCCTATTGTTGAGCTTAATATATTGGTAACTGGTTTTCTGTGCTGTGTGGTTTCTTCATTAATATTTTTAGCATCACCATCCAATTTCATTTTTGATCCTGTTAGTTTTAACTATGTATAGTGGCTTCTGGCATGAGCATGACCAAAATCTTGTCATTGGTTTTTCCATAGGTCGTGGCAATCAAGCAACTTGATCGTAATGGGCTGCAAGGGAACAGGGAATTCCTTGTTGAAGTATTGATGTTGAGCCTGCTTCACCATCCTAATCTTGTCAACTTAATTGGCTATTGTGCTGATGGAGATCAGAGACTTTTGGTTTATGAATACATGCCTTTAGGATCCTTGGAAGATCATCTGCATGGTATGTAGTGAATTACCTATTTTCATTTTTGATGATTCTCCTATCTTGTCATGTGTCATTTTTAGTATAGTCCATTGATTTTTCTTGTTCCATTCTTCTCTATCTCCAGACTTGCCGCCAGACAAAAAGCAACTAGATTGGAATACAAGAATGAAAATAGCAGCTGGTGCTGCAAAAGGCTTGGAATATTTGCATGACAAAGCTAACCCACCTGTCATATATCGTGACTTAAAGTGTTCAAACATTTTACTTGGTGAAGGCTTTCATGCAAAGCTATCTGATTTCGGCCTGGCCAAATTGGGTCCTGTAGGTGATAAGACACATGTATCCACTAGAGTGATGGGAACCTATGGATACTGTGCTCCCGAATACGCAATGACTGGCCAGCTTACATTGAAATCAGATGTTTATAGCTTCGGCGTTGTTCTTCTTGAGATAATCACTGGTAGAAAAGCTATTGACAATTCAAGAGCTGGTGGGGAGCAAAATTTGGTTGCCTGGGTAATTGAGCTCTATCTTTTCAACTTCTGCTTGACTTTTGAGATCTAACTGACAAGCAAAAGGACAACTGGATGAATATTTTTGAAATCTTGTTTTCATTTTACAGGCACGGCCCTTGTTTAAAGATAGAAGGAAATTCTCACAAATGGCTGACCCCCTGCTTCAAGGCCAATATCCAGATAGGGGCTTATATCAAGCTCTTGCTGTGGCTGCCATGTGTGTTCAGGAGCAGCCTAATATGCGGCCACTCATAGCTGATGTGGTGACTGCCCTCAGTTATCTTGCCGCACAGAAGTATGATCCTGAAGCTCAGCCGACCCAGGGACACCGTTCAGGGTCTTCCACTCCAAGATTCCGATAAGAACAGTGAAGTTGAGAAATATCAAGCAGGGAGATTTATCGACATGAGTTCCATTCCCATAGCAATCCAAATAATATCCTTGAGATTCATTGCCATGATGCCTGCTTGTCAAATTTTGGTAGTAGAGATAGCAGGTGGAATGTTCAAACCAAACCATCTTTCATTTTGTCCGAAATTATTTTTTATGGACAATGAGCTCGAGGTTTTGTACCTAAAATGCCTGCGATATAGAGACTCTTCTCTCTGGAGAGATCATCCCCATTAACAAATCAGTTTTCGACACTTTACTAAGAACATGTGATATATCAGAACCTCTTCAATTTCTAACCACTGGTAGTCCTAAACAAGCAATTTTTATTTCACTGTCCACAGTTGTTGAACACGATTACCAATCATCATAAGGTTTCAATCTCGTCTCATGATTAGCAAAATGTGTCTCATGTTCGGTTCATAAATTGGAGACTTTTAGATGCAAATCGAGTCCTAAAAGGGCATGAAAAGATGAAAAGTATTTTATAGAGAAAACCATCCCAAGAAAATTATGATTTAAAGAAGAAAATATGATACAGTTGATTTCCTATCTTATCTCCCTGCTCTTACATGCACTTCACTTCTAAACCGTTGTTTATTGAGTACTACCTAATAAAAGAACAAAACAATAGATTAATATGAGCTTTATATTTGTTTACCAAAAAACAATTACAGACCAGTAACTACACCGTCACTAAATCAGCAATGAAGAGGAAAAAGAATATCTACTGTGGCAAATGATGAATTTATCCAAAGAGGCAGTGACATGATTAACTGTCAATTCTCTTACTGCTTATCTTGTTCTGCAACACCGTTCATGTCTTTCTGCACGGTGTCCTTGTCATTTACGTCTTTCTGCTTAGTGTCTGGACTCTGCTCCTCGCTCAAGGGCTTCTCCTGGCCAGTTATGTCTTTCTGCTCGGTGTCTCGACTCTGTCCTTCATTCAAGGGCTTCCCATCATTATGTCCATCAGCTCCAGCGGGCTTTCCCTATTGTGTTCAATAAATTTTAGGAGCAATAATAGTTGAACATATAATTATTTGGACAGAAATGGCAAAGCAATTGACCAATTACCACAGAGTTTATAAGCATATGTTTGAAAACTTACCTTGTTTTTATCACGCCAGCCAAGACCAAAGGGCCGGGAAAGTAAACTAATCTTTCTTGCAGGCACTTCTTGTGCAGGCTCTTGAATGTTTCGTGATGGAGAATCCAAGTTCAATGATCTAGGAATGTGAGTTTACCATGACAACACAGAAACCAAGCTCATAAGTCCAACCCCGATAATCCCTGTACAAATCTTTAATAATGGATTGAAAGACCACAACTATTTAGTTACCGTGGAGAAGGTTGTGCTTTGACTTGACCAGATTGGTACTGTAAGGTAGCCTCCAACATTGATTCTGCCATTATCACTCTTTTCTCCATCTCAGCAAGTTTTACAGTGGCTTCTTCATACTTTTCCTGAATTTACTTGCATGTTAAATGCGAAGAGCAGAAGAAACAAGAAAAAGAGAGAAACAAAATACCTAGAAAATTTATCTATGTAATTCTATTATCCTCTCTTGTAGAACCCATTTACCATCTCCATCCTCAAATCCATTCTTTAAATCTTTACTCTTGGAAAAGAAGGAATACATAAACAATCACATGTTCTTTGTCAGCTTTCCCATGAATCTTCTTCACAAAAACACAGTTCCATTCCATTATCCAGTAATCTTTCAACTTGAGAATATTGAAAAAGGTTTTGCCATCAGCCAAATTGCAAAAGCAAGACACAATCATTCAGCGCTGACCATTATTTACATCGCAAAATAAGTCTTTGTTACAAAGAATACCTGGAGCACTTGAGCAGCATATCGCTGTGCAGCAGCATCTTGCTCAGCAAATCTGCGGGCATCCTCTGTTACTCTTTGCTCTTGCTCAACCCTCATCAGGACCTATAAAATCATCCAACATGACATGTCCATCACAATAAGGGGTGAAAATCTTCCACAAACTGAATATGGTGGGAAAAAATAAAGAAACCTGAAGCATTGCATTTTCTTGTTCCTGCTTCTCGGCAAGTGCCTTGCGAACATCAGCAACCTCTTGCTCTAATTGCTCCACCTGAAGGCCATAAACAGATATCAGTTTGGTAAAGAGTATGCTTTTGCAACTTATGGATTCTAAATCCAAGACATAAGAACTATATTTTCTATTAAGTGAGCAGAAAGTGATGAACATTTCCAAATTACCCTTGCACTTAATTGTCGTCTATTATCCTGTTTAACCATCTCCATTAAAGCTGTCTCCAACTCCTCAGCTCTGATAGAAAATAAGATGACGAAATCAAAATTGGTGCATTGATCACAAGGAGAGGCCGGGAAGAAAGTTCTTTTCTCTTTTATAAAAAAAGACAATAAAGAGCAAGCCTACAGTAAATTATACATAAAGCCCATCAAAATTACTAACCTGAGGACAGCAGATCTTTTTTCCTCCAGCAACCTGCATAATTCAACCTTCAACCATACAACCTGCATGTATTTCACACATCAGGAAAACATGGCATCACAAGCCCAACTGCTTTAACTTACAATTACATTACCACACCGAGGAGAGTAACACTATCTTTTTGGTTGGCCATGAGGGTGGTAAACCTACCTATCTAAAGCCCATAAACTAACTGAATCTATCCAGTTGTCTATTGGTTAACCACATCTCTATTTTGGAATAACAATACCATTCAGCAGAATCTAGCAGCTTGTATTTACATTTATACTGTACATTAACAACTTCATCATATATTGCATAAGGTTTTTACATTGATACAGAAATAGTATGATAATAATTACATATGCCTCTCAAACCATTACTCTTAACAATGATAGTTAATAATAGTTTGTATAATAGATCTTTGATGGCTTAATCACGTTTAAATGGATGAGCAACTTATATCCCTTTGCACAATTCTTTTTAACACATGACAATATCATCTGTTGAGGCTTGAGCAGTAATGTTCTCTTCTAACAAATATATAGAATTAAATGAAAAGCCACACAAGTAAGTAGCATAATCAACATTTGCATATATCTCTCATGCAGAAAAACAAAAAGAGATGTGGTCACTTGAAATGATATACACTATCAGGTAAATATCCAAACATGTCTGATAGAATACAGATCCCTCATTAGTCATTAGACTTCATTATATCTAATGAGATCAAATAGTGTACTCAGGAAGAAAAAAGAAATATAAGCTACCTGCTCCTGAAGATCTGGAACAGAATCCATCTCAGCATCTCCAGTTAGGCTAACAAGGACGTCATCTGCGTTAGTGGATCCAGACTCTGAACGAGATAACTCCCCATTTTGTGCTGTCTTATTGGCTTCCATCAACACAGACTTAGGGTCATGCTTAAAATTATATAGCTTAGATGCCAAGCCCTGAGAATCCCTCCAAGCTTGAAGTCCCTTTGATCTTTCCTCAATTGTAGCCATTATGACTGGCCGATGCTTATCTCTTAACTCTTGTAACCTTTTTTCATTGACATTTTGGTAGCCCATGCAAGCTGTTAACACAAGTTGGCTGCTGTCAAAAGTTGAGCCAGCCAGTGACTGTAGCAATGTAACTGCATCTCCAGCATCTTTAGTTGTAACTAATGCAGGGCCTACAAGAAACTGAGCTGAGTTAAGTTTTGCAAAATGAAATAGCTTACATGGTACTATTTCCATCTTTAAGTACCACAAAAGACAACATAAAAATTAAATAGCTTTGTGTTTTGCCCAGTACCATATAACTCCATCAAAGCAAGTGCCGTTCTGAAGAGCATAACACGATTTCCCTCAAATAGGAGCACATCCCAGACTCGAAGAACTGCAGTTAGACAAAAGCCAACAGAATACATAATGGTGATCACAATATGAGAGCACAAGATTACAAAGATAGACAAGTAGATATCACTTTTTGTTTTAGAAGAAATATTCAAAATATATAACAGCTATCATGTAAAACTAAGTTTAAACTTCTATATTACAGCATAAAACCTGACCACTTTCCCAAGGAAGCATGTTCATAAAAATGGAAAGGAACCACGGTCCAGTGACCCACGCCACCTGCACTCCCAGATAATCTAGATGATTGACTGCGGCAGATGTAAACATGATATCAGAAACTATCCAAGATGTTGCATAAAATAAGAATACTTAAGAAAATGCAAAAACAATTGACAAATGGAGACAAAAAAACCCACCCAGTTTAGGAAATCTCTCACGGACCAATTCCTCAAAAACAAGTTGGTCAACCTGGTAACAGGAAAGAAGTTATCAGCACATTCATCTTATCATCAGGGTGCAGTTATTTCCTCAACTGCTTTTTCATGTATCTTTTTAGCAGAAAGAAGATAGCATACTTGATTAACATGTGTATACTGTAGAGTGACACCAATAGCATACTTGATTAACATGTGTATACTGTATAGAAACACCAAGAAGAAAACTTTACCTGAGACTCAATCATCTCCTCTGAGTAATAGCCATCAAAATAGTCATCAAGAATACCCATCAACGACCTGAGAAATTGACCAACTTAGAAGCACATAAATTGAAGTAGTTATTATTGAAAACATCAATCCTATGCTAAAAATCAGTTAAAAATAGAGAATTTAAATAAAAGATAACATTTACAACAGAACAAAATTGCAAACTTAATAGCAATTAACCATGTTCCTTGCAAAAATTATAATCTGATCCCTTCTTTCTTATCAGTTATACTCTGATCTTCAGCTTTCAACAGACAGGAAAAGTCTAACTGATTATTATGAATGAATGGAATGCCTCAACTAAGTCTGGAAACCTACCAGAAGGCATTTTCTTCAGGCATCAGAAGTAGCAATAAAGCAGCAAAGAAATTCATGGCCTGCATAAGTGTTATTGAGCACAACAAGAAGTAAATTAGAACCATTGGTTTTATAGAAGCCTCTGAGGTTGTCTTTCCCCATTTTTCCAATTGGTCTGCTGAAAACACTACAATATTTCAGAACCAAATACCTGACAATACCCAACAGAGGGATTATGCCGAGCATAAGCCGTTAATAACCGTCTCAAAGCATTTCTACCATCATCATCCAGAGCAGGATGACCTGGGAATGTTCGAGGCAAATCCTGTATTTAAAAATTAAAACCAGTAACCCACTTGAAACTCAAACAAATTACACCATATAAAATTATAAATAAAATCAGCCTTGGCAGTGAAATTGAAAGATCATGCAAGTTATTACCTTCTCTATCTGCCCTCTCCATTTCTCAGGGCCACATACAGACTCTGTGCTTGAACCTTTATTGGCTGATAGCGACCCATGTTGTTCAATATTGTTGCCAGGGTTATTTTCTGCAGCCAGCAGATCCTGATAATATTTCTCCACTCGACGAGCCTTCACACCCACGAAGGCTTGCCAGAGCTGAAATTTCAAACATTAAATCAGAAAGAGGAAAATGATGCTCATTCATAATAAAGAAAGTCTACAAGAGAGTAAGGAAAATTAGAAGAAGGTGGAAGAAGCTAGAGCTTAAAATTGAAAAATATACCTCTCCCCTAAGAGCCATTGGTACTCCACCACGGACAAGAACTTCCAATTCTTCTCTCCATGGAAATAAAGATTCCAGATATGCTGCATCTGCAGCTAGAGCAGCCCCTGATGTTGTAGAACTCACACTGTCACCAGAAGAGGCATCCTGAGTAGGGTCAGATCTCTCCACATCATAAAATTCATCCTCAGAATCCTCCTCAGTTGCTCCCTTCAGAGCTCTGGCATTATCTGTCGAAAGTAGTGGCTTCCCTCTCCCAGTCACTTGCTCACCTTTCAATAAATGTCCTTTCTTTACACGGATACTCATCATATCTTCAATGGACCGAAGGGATGGCCTAATCTCCGTCCATATTTGGATCTGATGCCTCCTTTTCTCAGGTGCAGACTGTAAGTCCTCTTTTCCTGTAGCATTCTCTGGTGAAAGATCAGGGTCAGACTTTTTTTGATTTGAATCATCTCCCTCATCCTTATCTACTGCATCTACCACTCCTTCCACTGAGACTTCAGCATGTGATCCTTTACTACCTTCCTCAGAAGATATGTTATTGTCAGGTGCTTGAGCAAACCCTGCTTGGCACTCCAGGAAGCTCTTCCATCTATCTGATCTTTCCTCTTCTTCCTCCTAGAGTATGGGCATAAAAATCAAAGTAAATCTCCTTTTTTGTTTCTGAATGACTCTCTATCCTCCATTTAGTTGCCAAGAGATACGGGTAAAAAAAATGAACCATGGCAAACCATAAAATTTCCATCATTTCTCACCCAGACAATGCAGGAGGAAAAGTGAAAGGAAAAGGATAGACATATAAGTCAACAGAATTTTATGAATTTTGATGAAGTTTCAAGTTGTTCTCTCCCTCTTCACATGCATTGAAGTCATTCTTCTAAACTACTGGTTATTTACCATAATATATGATAACTTCTACCGTTTTATTTTCCTTTTCGTTCTCTAGATACTGACATAAATTACTAATAGGAAGAAATTTACCAATGAAGGAAAAAGAAAAAAAATGGTGGAGAAAAATTTCAAAAAATGACCTTGTAGATATTGGCATATTCTCTGTATCTTTGAACGTGTTGCGGTCTCACAGCAAAACCATAAGCATCCCTGTTCAAGCAAATAGTTCGTTAATTCCCAAACTCAGCAAATCCTTCCTAAAATAACACACTACTGCACCATAAAATTTCAAACGTGTAACTAATAAGCTTATAAGCTCATTCAAACACTAAGGTTTAAACTAAAACCAACCATGACATTTTAAGCAAAAGCCAACAGAATTTGCTTGCCAATTCAGTCTATGCGAGCTGAATTAGCCAAAAGACAACAACAAATTCCTCATTTCCTAAATTAGCCTAATCGTAGCCAAAAAATAAGAAAGAAAAAAAAAAATAATCGAATTCAAATCAACACTGAGACAAAAGCAACCAACAAGAGCCAGAAGAACAAGAAATTTGCGCAAAATCAATGCAGATTACCAGACATCGGCCTCCAAAGATTGCCGGCTAAGACCAGAAAACAACATGACATACTCAAAAAACAAACCTCACAATCCATATCGCTCGTCATTAACTTAATCCAAAGTTTCAAACTCAAATTACCAAAGGATCGAATCGCATTTTAAATTGAGTTCCTAAACTACTACAATTAACTCCCCAAAAAAGAAAAAAAAAATCTGAATCAAGATTATTTCCGGCAAATTTCAAGAATCACGGAAGAAATCCAGTGCGAAGAGTCAGTTATAGAGATCCGAAATCAACGATCCACGTCACCAGTGTACTCGATCGCCAAATTCAAATAACGGATCAGATGGAGAGCGGAGGAAGACGCGTGGCGGGATGCAAAAGAAAAGACGGAATGGAGCGTGAGCGTACCTCTTGTGATCGAAGGTGATGAGAGGGTTCATGGTATTGGTGGTGGACTTCATCCGGCAGAAGGCTCGGATTGGACCGGGAGATGCGAAGTCGGCGGCGTTTGACGGAAGAACCGGAGAACAGAGAAGATCTTTAGCAGTCTTTGTTGATTTGTGTCGTTGCTTGATTTGCTGCAACTGAAATGAGAAAGAAGCGGAAAGAGGTGTTGTGCCGGGACGAGTGTGAGTATGTTTGCTGGTCAGGCGAGTGAGAGAAAGGAAAAAGAGGTGGGGACGGGCGGGGATAGGGATGGAATGGAATGCAATGGGCGGATGTCACATGCAAGGAGCGAGATTAACGTCGGGTTATTACATGTGGGGATTGCTTAACGCGCATTTTGAGGCTGAGTCTGAGAAGAAAAGAGGTTAAAACATAAAATGAAATTATATTATCGCAAAAAGTCCCCCCTTCACAAATTTAGGACACATTGTTGTAGTTTTTAAATTTTAAATAATTAAAATTAAAAATTAAAAATTAAAAGTATTAACTTGTTGAGTATAAAATTTTAAATTAAATATTCAAAGTTACAAATTTAATTAATTTACAAAATTATAATTATACTAAACAAAACTTTAATTTGGTTAGGTGAATAAAAATTAAAGTATTTAAAAAATACCGTGTATTTTAAAATATATTATATATCAAACTTTAATTTAACATCTACTAAATTGCATAATTTAATAGTTAAAAGTTTTAAGTTTTAAATTAAATATCTTAAATTTTAACATTAAGACAAGTAAATAATACTTAAAAAAATAAATTATTATTTATTATTATATAATTTATCATTTAATATACCAAAATAAAAATAAAAGGACAATCCCTAAAAATAAAAATAGGTTTAAAATACAAAATATTGAACTATTCAACAAGTTACTTATGAGTAGTGATTGGGAAAAAAAAATAGTTGCCACGGATGATTGATTGTGGTTTACAGCTAAACAATGCGACTTTTGGAATCCTTTTTTAATGGGCAACATTGGGAATTTTATAATTATCAAGTTCGGCTTTCACTAATTCACAGTGAATCGTACGGAGTAGTTGTAGCAAGCTTATAGTTTTGTTACTATTATTACCATCATTGTGTCGGCAACTCAATTGCTCGGTAGAAAAATGAAATAAACATAGAAAAAAAAATAAAATTGATTTAAAATTAAAAAAATAAAAATCAAAACATTTTAGTGTCAAAATATCCATCATAATTATTAAATAAATAAATTTTTGATTGAGACTCATGAAACCAATCACAATAATAAACATCTTAATTTTTCGAAATCCTTTTAAAATTTATCTTTAAAATGACAAAATAAGCATTTGGTCAATGTCTTAAATAATAAGGTCCCCAACATGTAGGTCCATGTGTGGTATCATAGTTCATGGCATCTTGCTTACAAAAAGTGAACTTTTTGCCACATCCATAAGGTCATGATGAATCACAGTCGGTGAGAGTTTCGGATTTGTTGAGATTTATTTATTTATTTTTTATTTTACGTTGTATTTTAAACTCTTGTAAATTACTTGGAATTTCTAATATTCAATATGTATATATATGCATGTGATGTTTCATATTTGATGCCGTCAATGTGTTGCTTGTGCTTGGAAAAAGTTGTGTCCAGAGCAAAAGAGTAGAAAAGGCTTTTCATACTCGTTAGTTTC